TTTTTCTAGTCCCACATTTTTTATGATTAAAGCGTTTTTCAATCCGGGACATCCCCAGACTAATACAGAGATGGAGCAAGGACCCCCCTAACTAACTATATTTACCTACCTACCTACATCTACTGACTTACCCATCATTTATCTATCTATCTACCATCTACCTACCTACCTACCTATCATCTACCCACCTACCATCTACCTTCCTACCTATCATCTACCTACCTACCTATCTATCATCTACCCACCTACCATCTACCTACCTATCTATCATCTACCTACCTACCTACCTACCATCTACCTTCCCACCTACCTACCTACCATCTACCTTCCTACCTACCTACCTACCTACCATCTACCTTCCCACCTACCTACCTACCATCTACCTTCCTACCTACCTACCTATCATCTACCTACCTTCCTACCTACCTACCTATCATCTACCTTCCTACCTACCTACCTACCATCTACCTTCCCACCTACCTACCTACCATCTACCTTCCTACCTACCTACCTATCATCTACCTACCTTCCTACCTACCTACCATCTACCTTTCCACCTACCTACCTACCATCTACCTTCCCACCTACCTACCTACCATCTACCTTCCTACCTACCTACCTATCATCTACCTACCTTCCTACCTACCTACCTATCATCTACCTTCCTACCTACCTACCTATCATCTACCTTCCTACCTACCTACCTATCATCTATCTACCTTCCTACCTACCTACCTATCATCTACCTACCTTCCTACCTACCTACCTATCATCTACCTACCTTCCTACCTACCTACCTATCATCTACCTTCCTACCTACCTATCATCTACCTACCTACCTATCATCTACCTTCCTACCTACCTACCTATCATCTGCCTTCCTACCTACCTACCTATCATCTACCTTCCTACCTACCTACCTACCTATCATCTACCTTCCTACCTACCTACCTACCTATCTACCTACCTTCCTACCTACCTACCTATCATCTACCTACCTTCCTACCTACCTACCTATCATCTACCTACCTTCCTACCTACCTACCTATCATCTACCTACCTTCCTACCTACCTACCTATCAT